CTCTTCTCTTCTCTTCTCTTCTCTTCTCTTCTCTTCTCTTCTCTTCTATATGACACGTCTCTCTGAAAAGTGAACTTATTTACCTACCTTTCGTCCACCCCCTCCCTCTCAAGTTGAATCTTGATGAAGAGTTTGAATTGAGAACTGAACTTGATGAAGCTTTGAAGGTATCTGCCAGTCTCATTCGACTTCACCTGCCCCTGAAGGTGTTCAGGATGCTTTGTCTTGGACACATTGGGTGCAGTGAGGGTCTAGTGCATTCAACTGTTGACAGCTGAGCACTGCGTGCTGAGATTCACACTGTGCCCCTTGTGTATCAAAGGTTTTTTGTCCTTGAACTGAACAGATCCAATTGGGCAAATTGGGACTTGATTTGTGCTACCACCCTTTCTTCGAGCACGTTTCGTCAAAGTTCGATCTCTGCCGCTCGTCTCAGCTGCAAATTCGGAGCGCAGCTGCTCCTTGATAGCCGGATGCATGCATGCTAGTGCTGGTGTGTTGCAAAATGATACGGCCTCCCAGTGAGTATTTTGTGATGTTCACTACTGTGTTCTTGATGTTCTTGCACATGCTGGGTTGTACCGATTCAACATTTGCTTGGTCTCTCCACAGGCTGGGTTGCCCTATCAAAGAGGCTCGTGCTAGCTTGAATCTTTGGCATCCTTTGGCCAGATTTGCAGCTGTTGCAATGACACTAGATTTAATTTAGTTGATCACTCACTGTGCCTGCTTGGCTCAAGTGCTTTGCGTTGGGACTTTTTTTAGTGCCTGAAGACCATGTCAGACAATACGTAGTCACATGGCTGTATCCAGCAGCATGGCTGAAATGGACATTTCTCATGGCGGAGGCGTGAAGAAGTCAAGACTATAGCGAAGTCGACTGCCACTATAGCATTATATAGTGCAAAATGTTAGGTTTTGTGGAACCACATCATTATTAGTGCGAGCGCTTCTTCAAGGAAGCGTGAGCTATCCTGCGTCCTACCTAGGAGCGAACTTCTCCTAGTAGCTTACCTCCTTACTTAATTAAGTAGGGAGAGGGAAGGTCGGCTCTACAAAAAGAGACGATCGTGCAGGCTATAGCGAAGTTGACAGCCACGAAAGTCGACCAGTCGACCAGTTGGCGGAGTCGAGTCTGAGGCATGGGCAGTCCAACAAGCCCAAAAGCACGCCAAGCTGCTAGCGTATTCGTGAGCTCCCCAGAGTGGACAATGAGAGGATTTGGAACATCTGTATTTTTCTTTTTCAGCTAAGTAGGCTAGTCTGGAATGCCATGGTTTTGGTTCAATACACGTATCCATGGCTTATAATAACACCACTATGTACAGACAATCTTCTGATTTTGCGGCAGTGTTGAGGGAAGCTGTTTGTAGACCTTGCGAACCAAGGCTGGAAACATACAGAACGAATTTGAGAAGCTCCGTCAAGATATCGATGCTCAGCCATGCGTTTGTGTATTCCATCCTCCCAGATTGGTTGGCACCCCCGTGGCAGCACTATCTGCTCTGCAGGACCGATTTCTTGTTTCAGCCTCACGCTGAGGATCGAAAGCATGTCCGGGTAGAGAAGATGATCAGAGCCTCAGCCCAGCAGGCATGGGCAAACGGGAACCCTCTGAAGGGGCAACGTCGAATTCTTTAAATATTGGGCCTTCTGTGTGCAGCGTAGGTGGCGGCTGCTACCACTGCAGCTCTTCAGTAGCGCGTGCTGCAACATGAGTTGTATGAGTGCTTTGTAAGATTTGTCAGACACTCAGCTGTTTCATGGCTTTGTCAGGCACCAGTTGATGAATATGCAAAAGCAGATGCTAGCGTCAATCCGAGATCCAGGCATCATCCAGCCATTTCAGGACGGACTCACGGAGGTTCTTTTGCGGAATGGTCTAAGCCTTCACTGCCTTGCCAAAAAGACCCAGGATGCAGAGATGAGTCGTGCAGCACTACGAGAGAACGCGATTGGGGAATTCCCAGAGCATGTTCTAAACCGCTCATCAGTGCTTTCGGGAGGTTCGTAGCTTGACTCAAGGTTCGTAGCTTTAAAGATTTGTCATGGTTCGTTCAAAGCCAAGTCCTTGGAGTTCCAAAAGCGACCGCTGAACTTCTTTTGAAGGCTTGATTTTGACGAACTTCTTGGGGAAGATCCTTATGGAAGCTTGATTTCATGGTCTTGTGATGCTGGTAAAGAGCGCAGAAAGGAGGCTTGATGAGAGGGCTGGACACTAAGGTGACCTCTACACATCAGCGATGCCAACTGATGACGAAGACTTGGCACGACAACAGTATGAAGCTGCTGGCGGCCGCCGCAGGAAAGGCAAAAAGGAGAGCAGCCATTGGGACTTAGTTCTTGTCACTATCCTGAATTCCCGGCCTCAAGATGTGAGGACAAGGTGAAATCAGCATGGGAAGAGCCGAAGGCATCAGAGTTCCTGAATGTGCCAACTTCGATGTAGACCTGATGTTCAGTGGGGTGTTTGAAGGCTGAAGATCCAGCGGAGAGCAAAAGTACAAACCAGAAGATCCGCAATACTGGCGATGACACTCGTCAGATTTCACCGGAGGTATCCAACGTTGGAGGTTGAGGACGTGGATTTGACAGTCAATGACAGTCAAACTAGTGATGTATTTCCGGCATGCGGCATGATATGGGTACATGTGGGTAAAAAGCTACTGATACCCCTCCAGAGGGTAGAGGAAAGGGCCCAATCCTGTATGCTGTGGCACTGAGGGGGTTATGACTTTGAGAGAAGCGCCTTTCCTGCAACTGCAAACAAGACTGCGTGAGAATCTCCAACTCGGCAACAGTGTTGAGATATCATTACTAGTAAATGAAGACACGCGACGACCGTTACAGTCTTGCGAGGGTGATGAAGAGCTGTTGAAGAAGAAAGCGCAATTGGTCGCAAGGCGCAAGTTAACGAACTGTGGCTCGGTGTAGGTGCTGATTGGTAGTTGCCTGTAGTGTTAGAAGAAGTTTCCCAACCTTGAAACGCTTTTCACCTTCTTTTGAAGGCGTGTTGTCAATGAAGAAGAAATGCCTCCAGGGCGTGTCTTTGCGAGGCCAGGCGCTTTCAGGTTCACTTTTGCTGCTCCACCCCGATAAGCTTCTCAAAGCTAAAGGTACAGAAGGGCGAACATGCTGAGGGCAGCCAGCTGCAAAACGTGCTTTGGGAAGCTCCAGAAAATTGAAATGACATCAATTTCAAGAAGAGAAACGATTCAACCATTGCTAGTTTGCAATGGTGGCCCTTGCAATGCAAGTTCTGTGAAACGAGGATGTGTCATGCTGTTGGTATGTCTGGGAAATACGATTCAGTCCCGGAACCTTTCTGCAACAGCACGCTTAGTGGTCACTCCAAGGGTTTCGACATGGTTCAAAAATTGACTGTACTGGATCCAAGTTGACGCACATGTGAGCGCAGGAAAATTGTCTTCAATCAGCGTTTTGAATGGGTGGCGGCCGCAATTATGGTCGGGAACTCCTTGCTGGTTGGAATAGAAGCAGAATACACGCTGAACAACCTAAACGGAGTGCCTTTGAAGCATTGGCGCAATGTCGCAACTGCTGCACCTTAAACAGACAGGGATAGAATGCTGTGCCCTTCAGGAACCATACTGGCTGATTCGGATCTTTGACATTGTCTTCAATGTTTGCTTTGCCATAGAGCTTGGCCTCCGGCTGGCTGTGCTCAGCTTGGTGTTTCTCCTACAACAAATCGAGAACTCAACCAGACTTTTGAACATTTCCCAAAGGATTCTCATCCCAGTCAGGCAGATCAAAAATTCTTTATTTCGCTCTACAACCCTGCATTGCAACCTGGCAAGACCTAGTGGCAACGTTATATCACATCAGTGACCGATCAGGGAATATCTTCAATCTTCAGAGTGCGAGGCACTGGAACATTTTAGACATTATATTGGTATTGCCACAACCTAAGTCTGAGAGGCTGCGTGCGACAATTTCTTTGTGTAATTGTTTCACAGATTGCAACACCAAGGTCAACCTTTGTAGAAGAGATCATCAATATAGTTGAGGCGAATAGACCAGAGATTGATGTGTGCCTTGGCAAGATGTAGGAGTTGCTTCCCAAAACTATTCTCCGCCTTTGCCATCCTTTGCCTGCTTCATCCTGCGGTGTTGCTCCAGCCATTTCATGCCATTCCTGGGCATTGTCTTTCAGGTCAGTCCTGCGGATGCTGAGAATGGTGCGCTTGTTGCGTGCCCTTGGCCAAAAAGACACACCAAACAAATCCAAAAAGCAGAGGAAAGAATAACTGGAAAAAGGAAAAGGTCTAAAGGTCCAAGGGAAAAGGAGGAAAGAAAGAAGAAAGGTCGTACTTCATCGCTTCTTTGTTCCTAGTAGCTTCTTGTTACTAGTAGTAAGGCCAGGAGCCCCTAGTAGCGTCCTTGCTCCTAGTAGCGATGCCCTTTGTTCCTAGTAGCGTTCTTGTTCGTAGAAAGGTCTAAAGGTCCAAAGGAAAAGGTCCAAAAGACAAGAAACGACCGTACGAGCGGGCAGGTGTGGCTCGTATCGTGCGAGTCGTCCGATTCTTCAACGATCTTCGGGTCATGGTCACTGGAATCAAAGCATCCGGCAGAGTGCTTCTTTGGGCGATCGTGCCTTGGTCTGAAGAGACCAAGCTCTGAGCACCCAACAAAGACTGAAGTTTAGGAGCAGCTTCCTGTTTCTAGTACGGCCAGGAGCCCCTAGTAGCGAACCTTGTTCCTAGTAGTACGGCCAGGAGCCCCTAGTAGCGTCCTTGCTCCTAGTAGGATAATGTAATGTACCCTCTCTACAGAGAGCTATTTTTAGATTTATAGGGTCACGCTGTCACACCGATACTTCTCCAACCCCGTCAGGAAGGCTTTTCACACTATTCTCTACAGGTTTGGCATTCACCTCAACCCACTACTATATATATATATACACACACACTGTATTTTTAATTTCTATATAAACATATCTCAACACATCATTGGAGGCGCCAAATCAAACAGGTCATTTGGAACGCAATTGCAATACACTTAGTGAGTGGCACTTGCTCAGTCACTCAGTCTAATGGCCAAGTACCCTGCCCCGCAGGGAGTTAAAGGACCTGGCAAATCCCCACGAAAGCCCGTGTCCCTGCGTCCCTGGTAGCCATCTTGTCAGCAACACCACGCCCAACCTTTCTACAGCTGCAGCAGGCTGCTTTTTTCTTCAAACTTTAATGTCAGTGGTTCCTCTTCTTTTTGCTTCTTTTTTGCACA